GTTGATCAATTTATGATTTCAATGAAACTCAACAATTTATTAAACCCGTGTATTGAAAAATGAAACTGAGTTGACTGAGGGTGCCTTTAGGTAGCATTAATTTACTAAATAAAATGGGAAAAAGAACGCGAGATATTACAATACACGTTTAATATTGAAAGCAGGTACAGTATATAACCAGTCATTTAATTGTAATGAAGTTTTATATAGGTAAATTTCCACGTTGATTAGTTGACTCTCCAAACAGATGAATAAATAGTTAAATATGTGTGTTACCTACCCGACTGTTATGTCTGTTTAATTTATGTTTGTTCGTGTTGATTTTGTTATATGTGTGGTCTCATTACTTATACTTGTCAATCAACAACCATCGTAATTCTTACGGCACAAAGTAAGAGCTCAAAAAATTCCTTAACACTTTAAAAAAATCATCGTGAAACCACATACTACTCATATACTAGTTTTACTGATAGACACACACTTGATGATTAGTTAATTAACCCTTTATACATGAAAAGATATACAGAATTAAAGTTAAACACATGTAAAGTATACACAAGGAGTGTTGATGCCACAATGATGCAATCCATTAATGCTAAATGCCTTACAAGCTGGAACTAATCGATCGATTTGGTTCATTATTGAGTAATGAATTACTGATTGGTATGTTGAAAAAGAGATGACCTAATGGTGAAAACTACAACATTAGTTGTTTATAATCATAATGTTCATTGATAATATCTTCCGAAAACTGCTAAGTGATCAAGTTTGTTACTTTTCCAATGAGATATTGCTGTAAAGAGCTGATGGTTTCATATGAGACCAGAGGTTCGTTGTGAACATTGTGGATGGTTCGGCATTAATTTGGCAAGTTTTGCTAATAGTCCATTTGCAAATTTTTGGTTATCAGGGTGACTGATCTCATTGATACTAATGGTGCTTGTCTTGAGACATTCCCAAGGGCCATTGTCATTGGGATTCTGTATTGCATATCACTTTTGCTAATAGTAATGAGTTTGACAGTCATGTAAGTGGGATGGGTTAAATTGACCTGTTCGTGCTGTGCATATTGATTGACGCGATCAAGGATCGGAAATAATCACCAAATGTATTATTGATGTATATAAATGGTGTGAGTGGTCCACCAGGGTATCAGGTACCAGTGTAGTTGCGCCACATGACTGAGCTGTACTGTTCAGGTTGTGCTGTTAACACATGGGCAGTGTCTGGTTCTCCTGAAAATCAATGTGAAATTAACCTTGCCAACTGAGGATGAATTTATATATATATATATATATATATATATATATATATATATATATATGCACAGCACGAACAGGTCAATTTAACCCATCCCACTTACTTTTCAGTTTATTTTATTTGTGATAAACCTTATCTTTAAAAATTTTTTCTTTACTAGAATGGAATGACTCCATTTTTAATAGCTGCTTCTAAAGGAAATGAATTATTAATGGAGATTTTGGTAAAACGAAAATGTAATGTGAATGCAACAGATTTGGTAAGTTTAAAATAGAATATTTATGCAGTTGAAATGAATTAATTACTTATATAAAAGTATACTATTGACTATCTGTATTCAGTAGACAAGTAGACAGAGTGATAATGTTTGAAGTGAACGCTACTGGGCTTGAACCCCGGAGTAAATATCGAATTCGGGATGCAGTTACATTTAGTTGAGAAGTCGCAGAGGTGAGACAGACATCCTGGTTTCTACTGCCAATTCGGTATCATAATCGATATATCCGCATAAAATGCATATATCACAACCAAGACTGATCACAATTCGGTCATTGATATCAACAACCATTTCAGATTGAATTATAGTTGAATTGATGAAAGCGACCAAATATAAACATTCACGATCACGTAAGCGCAAATCGAACCCAAGACCTTTGATTCCGCGTGCGAACGCTTAACTTCTTGACTACAGTGTTAATATTTAACAAGAACAAAACGACCATACTGTGCTTCCAGTTTTCTAAAGGTCGATCACCAACGGTCCATTCATGATTTCAATGGAGCCCAACAATTTCCACACCATTATAATGATAATAATAATTCTTCCATTGTTCTTAATGATGTCATAACCAAAGATACTGTTTATCTCTCTCTATGGAACACTTTATCACGCACGATCACTATAACAATAAAGTACAAATATTTTATCCGTATTATATAATTAAAAACTGATTGATAATATATTTGTTTGTTTGTTTGTTTGAATTGTTATCAATTTAAAAATTATACATTATAATTAATTATTAATACATTATAATGTCAACTATGCAATTTAAAATTCAACATTCAATGATCAATGGATTTGGTTTTATTGTACATTTAAACAAAAAAATAATAAATATTATTTAACCAGTTATAGTACAGAAAAATAATAATAGAAATGTAATGCAAAATGTTAATATCGTTGCGCTAACATAATGAAAACAAGCAGATTTATTTATGATGCACATTAATTAAGATGTACAATTTTGAGAAAATAAGATAAATACAATGAGAAATGCATTTATCATTTTTTTGATAATAGATAATTTTCTTTAAAATGTGTTCCAATTACTTTCTTTACATAACATAATGAAATGAGAAGGATGAATTCAAGTAAATATTTATTTCACAATAGTCCAGTTATATTCTTTTTACAAATGTTTGTTTGTAATTCATGTTGAGAAATAATATACATTGTGCAATCTATCAAACAATCGAAACATATGACTGAAATCCACGTGAAATGATGTTTGAATCAACGATTTATCTAAACAGTAGTTCTGTTGTTACACGACTGAACGCAGTGGGTTCGATTATTGCGAGTAGCGGAAGTCGTAGATACGCACTGCTGATGAATCCAACACTAGAATGAAACGGCCGTCCAATACTTCCATGTTTCTAATGGTGGTCATGCATTGATTGATTCATGATTTCCAAATTGCAATAAATGAAAAACATCTCAGATCATGTGATATCTTTGAGGGTTGCTTGTCTTGAATGAGAGCGACTTCTTTGATAATATGAAAAAACAGTGTAGCATCTCACCATTCATTCATTGTACTTCATTGATTTGTCGTTTCAATGATTCGATAAAATGTATCGACCATTTTTTATATTTGTAATAATTCGATTACAGCATCGATTATTGTATATTTGAATATGTGTGGGTGCGTACTCGTTTATCACATGTCTAGCATATCATTGCCTGACTTTAAGCACCTAGTCATTGCTTCAAAGCTGGAGAGTGAGCTTACTCGCCTTGTCCAATTCGCTTCGTTTTGCTTGTACGCTTTCCATTCTCATGTCCGTCCGCATAGATGAATGCATGAAATAAATTAATCCGCAACACCGTATTTGGCTTCTTCCTATCACCATCGTCGCACGGACTCGGTTTGCCTAAGTATGATATACGGAAATGGACAGGAAGATTTATTTCATTGCACACCCGATCGTTCGTTCACACTGGAGTCCAGTTGTGAGCCGCTAAAATGGTTAACCTGACTTGATTGGAACACGCAGCGTTGCGAACCGTTGCCAGCGTTGTGGTAGTCGTAAACATGATATTATCAGCATGCTGGAGGTTCGTGTGACTGCTGAGAATGGTAGTTCTTGTGCATGCGCGTGTCGCCATACCACCAATTTACTTAGCAGGTTGCAAGATGTTCGAGGCACGAACAGTACGTCGGAGGTATCTGTCACATGATAATCGTAGCGCCACTACTGTGATAAGTGATTCAGAATACAGTTATGTGATATGAACTGGCTTCGTTACGTACAAAGGATACGAGATTGTGCTGTCTGCATTGTTCATCGAGTCTGATATGTTGATTCGTTCGTCGAATAGCTTGAGTTCGATAGCTTTTCTGTCGACGTTGCTCTTTACGTTGCGTTATATTCGACGTTGGGAATTCTCGGTAATCGCTAATAATTGTCACGTGTTCTCAGAAAATCACGTCGGCTCACCATTTTAGCGGTTCACGACTGGATTCCAGTGTGGACGAATGATGAAGTGTGCAATGAAATAAATCTTCCTGTCCATTTCCGTATATCATACTTAGGCAAACCGCGTCCATGAGACGACGGTAGTAGGAAGAAGCCAAATACGGTGTTGCGGATTAATTTATTTCATGCATTCATTTATGCGGACGGACATAGGAATGGAAAGCGTACAAGCGAAACGAAGCCAATCGGAGAAGGCGAGTAAGCCAATTCTGCAGCGTTGAAGCAATGACTAAGTATTTATAGTCTGGCAATAGTAAGCTAGACATGTGATAAGAGAATACACATCCACACACATTCAAATATACAATAATCGATACTGTAATCGAATTATTACAAATATAAAAAATGGTCGATACATTTTATCGAATCATTGAAACGACAAATCAATGAAGTACAATGAATGACTGGTCAGATGCTGCAACAGTTAATTTATATGATAACGTAGATGACAGATGTTGCTTGTATCTATTTCAATCAATAAAAAATTTCAACAATCAAATTAAGACTTGTAGGACGAAAGTATGTAAACCGTTGGTTATGATGCACAGTGTCCGAGATTTGATTGTGATATGTGCACTAAACCACAGACTGCTTACTTTAACAAGAAAGCAATGATAGAAGAGAAAGTCTATTAGGCTACTGAATGATATTCGTTTATATATTATACACTTACCGTTTTTAGAAAAGGAAGTCATTTCTTGACCAATGTTATGTATTCATCCTTCAGGACATTTTCCGATGGTCATCAAATAGCTTTCTCATCTAACCATTTCTAATTGGCTAACTATATTACTACGTTTTTTGTCAAAGTAAGATTAACCTAATGCTCTAAAACTGGAAATAACTGTCACAGATGGTCATCGAATATAATTACACCAATGAATTCAGTGACTGTCACTAAATGCTCATAAATTTACAGAATTGTAACTGGTTACTGAATATTAGCAAGTAGTATAAATGTTAAGCTAAAAAAGAAAGATGGGACTGTCAGCTCACTCATGTAAATCCAAACCACTGTACCATCTATACATTAGTTTTCTTATCTAGTTTTAGTCAGTTTGTGAAGTTGTGCAACTAACCTTCGCTGTTTTCGAAAGATAACTTCTTCATACCTAGTATACTTGTACTTTACTGATTAAATCTTTTTCGTATAATTCTTTTCGTCTGACTGTCACAGTTCTTAATATGATTTACTCATTCTTTTCTAATTTATTATTGTTTTCGTAAACAAAAATACATCGAAATTTTCAGAATGAAATTTAACTCGTAATATACAATTGACCGACCATCAGGTAATCACCAATGTCATGTCGACTAACTCCCACCACCAGCTTACATTTCACAGCAGTTTATGCAGTTTTGAGTAATCTAGATTAGTAGTCACATTATAACTTGATGGCTGAACTTCAGTTAACTCTAAAAAGGACCTGATATATACATGATTTTGGTCATTAGCCAGTAATCATCCAATGTTAAGTGCATCTCTAACCTACATATGATTAGTTGCGGTACAGCTCTAGTATCGTCTCTAACAGGGAAGCCACCAGGGAGCATCAGTTCCTTCAGGATTACAGGCAAACCTTGCTGGTGAGTGCTATATAGGACAGAAAATAGGTTCAGGTTTTCTTGTCAACTACCTCATACTACTACTAGCTTAAATAATCATCAGTTAAAAATACTTTATTATTCAAATTATAGATAGGCTAAATTTAAAATAATGAATGCGTATGCACAAAAAATATACAAATCATTTGTCACTAATTAGTTGAGAATTATTTTGTCAACATAACCGAATAAATTTGGATAGATAAGCATTGAAATCCGGAATCATTAGACAGCTGTTTTATATACTAGTATGTGCCGTTGTAACAGCATTATGATACCTTCACAAACCTAACTTACAACATCCTGGTCTCTAAACGAGGGTTTAGCCTTACTTCCTCCAAATCAATAAAGATCTTTTTTTATCTTTGTGACTAAGTTGAGTCAAATGAGAGGCTTTGAGAAATCGAGTTTGAATATGTTCAGTACGAGGCAGAAATTCACGAATGGGGTGCTTACGAAGATGGTGGTTGTATAATGAACATAAATGGCTTGAAGTTATACATGTAAGCACCATTGGATTAGTGGTCTAAAATTTCGTCTTTCCTCTAATGACTTGAACAACAGTATTAAAATAATATCAAACAATTGTCTAGTACTTACTTTTTACTTTACTTACTTACGTCTGTTACCCCCAATCGAGCATAGGCCGCCCACCAGTTTTCTCCAACCAACTCTGTCCTGCGCTTCCCTCTCCAATTCTGTCCAATGTTTGTTCATTCCTCTCATATCTTTCTCTATTTCTCGGCGTAATGTATTCTTTGGCCTTCCTCTTTTCCTTTTGCCTTGAGGGTCCCATGTGAGGGCTTGTCTCGTGACGCAGTTAGGTGATTTCCGCAATGTGTGTCCTATTCACTTCCACCGCTTCTACCTGATTTCCTCTTCCACTGGAATCTGGTTTGTTTTCTCCCACAGTTCGTTGTTGCTGATGGTGTCTGGCCAACGAATACGAAGTATTTTGCGTAGACAGCTGTTAATAAACACTTGTATCTTCTGGATAATGGCTTTGGTAGTTCTCCAAGTTTCCGCTCCATACATTAGAACTGTCTTGACATTTGTATTGAAAATGCTGATTTTGGTTTTGGTTGAAAGTTGTTTGGAGTTCCAGATATTTTTCAATTGTAGAAATGCAGCCCTCGCTTTGCCGATCCGCGCCCTCACATCTGCATCGGATCCACCTTTCTCGTCGATGATGCTGCCCAGATATGTAAAGTTGTTGACGTCATCCAAGGCATCTCCATCAAGAGTGATTTGGTTAGCGCATGTTATTTTGTATCGCAGAATCTTGCTTTTCCCTTTATGTATGTTGAGACCTACTGCTGCAGATGCTGTTGCTACACTGGTCGTCTTCTCTTGCATTTGTTGTTGCGTGTGCGATAGAAGAGCCAGGTCACCTGCGAAGTCCAGATCGTCCAGCTGCATCCTAACTGTCCAGTTGATACCGTGCTTCCCTCCAGATGTCGACGTCTTCATAATCCAGTCGATGACCAGGAGAAAGAGAAAGGGTGAGAGTAAGCAACCTTGCCTGACACCGGTCTTCACCTCGAAAGAGTCTGTTAGCTGACCTCCGTGCACAATTTTGCAGTTGAATTTTCAAAAATTTGCTAATTACGATCATCTCATGGTGTCAACAAACTTACCATAGTAAAACTATGATACAAATGAATATAACCAGTCATTTTACATATTATCATTCTAAAATAAAACGTCAAGTTTTTTTTATTTTCTATCATGAATTTACTTTTTCAGTATGGTCGAAATGCATTACATTTTGTTGCAAAAAATGGTCATATCGATGCATTATACTACTTATTGTCATTGGAACTACTTAAAACGAAAATTAATGAATTAGTGAGTAATCATTTGTTATCATTTAAAATTCCGCAAAATTAATTATAGTTAATAACTGATCAAAGAATGATACTTTTTTTGTCAATGTTACTTACTTACTTACTTACTTACTTACTTACGCCTGTTACTCCATATGGAACATAAGTTATCGATCAGGATTCTGCAACCTACTATTGTGGTGCGCGCTACTTATAAGTAGTATATGAAGCGAGTGAAAACGTAATGTCTGACAGCAGAAGATGGGGGAAGATCAAGAAAGGAAGAGTGGGAACACAATGGAATTTGTATGAAACGCATGAATAGTGAAATGTCAGACAATGGATTGATGTTTTGCAAATTAATGGTTTTTGATATGGTTTTCCTATTTTACCAATTAACTCTGTAATTTTCGTTAATTATAGTTCGGTTGCCCTCACCTGTGTTCTCATTCACTACACTATAACTAGGTCTTCCTTTCCAACTCTACCCAAGTAAGCATACAGATAAATTTTAGTCAGCAGGAATTCCATCTCAAGAATGATTTGGCTGAAGACCACTTACAACTACCTTGCAATTAAGCAATATTTGTATAATGACTATTTGTCCCTGATATAAACAATTTACTTACCTACAAAAATATGTACATTATTTTATTTTAGGATAGCTCCGGTTGTAGTCCGCTACATTTAGCTTGTGAAAACAATCAACAACATTGTGTTCGCCTACTTCTAGAAACTGGTGCAGATCCAAACATTCAAACAGAGGTTAGATTATTTTCAGTGCTTCCATTCAAATAATTTTTGTTACAAAAAAATGGTCATAATTTTTATTCAGTACCTTTGATAATATTGTGTCATCGAATGGCCTGGGCACTGCTAAGGGTGAAATGAATCCATACAGCTTGGTGTATATGGCTTCTGTCAGGTAAGCCACTGCAGAGATTCTTTTCTGAAAATACAAGACCTGAAAACAAATATTTGGAGGTTACATCGACAGGGAGGGTGAGGAGAGTCTGCCTAAGAGATCTGGAAAATTCTAATTTCAAACCAATGGTGCACATAAGCTCTGGTATCCTGAAAGAACTATTGGCTTGTATATCTGTTGTAGTCACTGGCTATCATGAGACGATATCGGCATTTCTTTATGGATTGGATCTCCAATTCATAGATCAGGATAGTGTCCATGTATTAAAACCTGCAGATTTGACTGGGGAGCACGGATAATATTTCAGCTAACATAAATATAATAATGAATTCTATACTGTAACGAACTGAAGACTTTCGTTCGCTGTATTGTTTATAACTTGAAAATATTCCTTATTAGCTTATAACTCATAGGATGTGTCCACGTGTATGTACAGTCAGTCTAACTTACCCTACAATCTCATGAAGCTTAGTAAGAATGATTTTCATCAAGAGGTTTTCATGGAGATCACTGCGGTTTAAAAATGACATTGGTCTGTTTAATGTCGTAGCAGTTGGAACAGTTAGAACTGTATCGAGAACTGTTCTAATCTATTAGGGTAGAACATTAGTTTCCAATACATTAGTTCAAAGGTTAAAATCTCAAAACGAAATCTAAAGTTCTTGGATTAAATCACTGACATCTGGTTGTATCTTGTGTGCATGGCTGAAAATTATGAAGAAGTTATTAGCTGTTTACTTCTTAGTTTTCGCTAATAATTTAGGCTACAACCATTTAGTAGAGATTAGGCCACCAACTATCATTTTCAGACCAACTATGTTCTGGGCCTTCTTTTGATGTCTGCCCCCAGTTCTCAATGACGTGTGCTCTTTGTATTTCCTCTTTTCCTTTGTCCCTGAAGATATCAAGTTAAGGCTTCACTTGTGATGAAGTTGGGAGATTTCCCCAATGAGTGTCTCAACCACCTCAATCATTTTCTCCTTATTTCTTCCTCATTTAGATGCTGATTTGTTTTTTACTACGGTAGGCTGTCACTGATGTTGTCTGGTCATGGATCCACAGCATCTTGAGTAGAAAACTGGTCGGAAATACTTAAATCTTTGGGATGATATTGTTCGTAGTTCTCCTACTTTCCGCTCCATATAACTGCATTGTTTTGATATTTGTATTGAAAGTTCTGACTTTGATGCTGGTTGGAGGTTGCTTTGAGTTCCATATGTTCTTCAATTGTAGAAATACTGCCTTTGCTTTACTTATCTGTGTATCTAAATTTGCATGAGATCTACCATGTTTATTAATGATGTTATGAAGTTATGTAAAGGTCTCCACATCTTATAAAGCTTCTCCGTCAAGTTTGATTTTGTTGGTGGGTGTTGTGTTGTATCAGAGGATTATGTTTCTTCCCTTGTGTATATTAAGGCTTACCGTCACAGAGGCTGCTGCTACACTGGCCATTGTCTCCTGCATTTATTGTTGTATGTAGGATAGAAGACCTGGTTGATCGGCGAAGTCCAGATAGTCCGCCTGCATCAGAGCTGTCCACTGTAATCTATGCTTCGAAGGAGATATTGGCGTCTTCATAATCTTTGACTAAACAGTGAGCTCAACTAAGTAGTTTTACAAATATTTGTACTGATATACAATATTCAAATAAGATACATAACTGAGGAAAAATAAAGAAAGAGTAAGAATCTCTTATTAGTTAAACTGAATGGAGCATAAATGTACAACTCATTCTTCAATATAGATTCGCCTTAGAAAATGAACCAAGATTTTTAACCGATACGTTATGTCTATTTCCTCAGAAGGTAAGGCCAAATCCTGACCAATCCCATTTTTATATGTGTGAATTACCCAGCATATTCATCTTAATTGGTTGTCAAATATTTGTATGTACATATATATTTTATGTAGTTTTAAAATTAAACTGTTTGTTTTTGAAAAATAATTGCTTCTAGACTCGTGATTGTCCTTTGATTGAATGCTCTCGAAGAGGATTCCATAAATGTATTGATCTGCTTCTTCAAAATCAAGCAAGTCGCCAGAAAAGTAACAAAGTAAGCCACAACTATCAATACATAACATACGTTTGTCAACTGATCATTGGCTTCAGTGCTGATCGAATGCTGTCGATCAATATACCATTTACTCTGAATGAATTCACATAGTGTACAGTGATTTGAACACTAGGTAATTAGGAGAAATATCCGAAAAAGAATGGAGGGACTAAGCCGGAAAGATTAATTATAATAACATTTCTCAATGAAACACTGAATATTTATTTTTGAGAGTCTAATGTCAAACTATTCACAGTAGTACATTGGTCGATTACCAAATAATAATAATAATAATAATAATAATAATAATAACTAAGCTCCTTCTGCATCCCTAGACTAGGTATCCTGACATTGAATTGTTTGAGGGTAGCTATAAGGAACTCCTAAGATCAGTAAAGTGTTGGGGACACAGATCCCTAGAACTCACTTGATGAAGGTCCAAATTTTGGATTTTGTGTTTTCGCGCGTGGGCTGATCAGTTGGCCTTGAGATTACACTTCCCACCAGGGAAATCACTGACTGCCATTGGTTGATGTGTTATCTTAGTAAATTATTTTTGTGGCTCTCCCGAGTACGTTTTTATCGTGTTTAAATAAGCTCGATTTGTATGTTTGTCAACTTCGCATTTTCTGGGAGCTTGTAGAATACACAGTTTCTACGCCTTATCAAGACTTCGTGATATAGTTAGCACGGCTTGGGACGACGGGTTAGAATAGCCTACTATCTTAGTGCATCGTTTGCCTTCACTCTCGTTTACCGAGTATGGTGAACTCGTAATAGTTTCAAGCGTACCATAAAGCCTAACACCGAGATTCTGAGTTACTAGGGTTCAGATCTTATGCAGGATATCAGTTCCGTCATAATTCATGAAGGAGATTCTTGAAGTTTCCATAATTTTCATAGTTCAAATCACGAATTGGTCTTTGGGAACCTGGAAACAATAGATGACTATTTTGTTCGAGTGTGGGACTCTATAACAATGCACATCCACAACCCAGAAAGTGCGAATCAAATCCAGGACCTTTGGTTTTACGAGTGAACACTTAACCTCCAGACTATTGAGTTAGTATTCATTGGTGTTAACGTCTAATACACTGTATTTCATGACTATTATCAATTATCTTCAGTAGATAACTGCCTCACACTTGATATGACTGAACTTCACTGATCACGACTCTATTCTCATACAACCCTCAGAAATTCATCATGAATCTAATGAGTACATGATTACTATTAAATGAACGGGGATTAGTAGAGGTTGTATTATTTTTCTAGTTAAAATCATACACATCATTATTTGTGTATCTTTCTAACAAATACGAAACAAGTTTACCTATCGATTAGTTCCATAAATTACTTACTTACTTACTTACTAAATTATGCCCGTTACACCCAGTGGAGCGTCGACCACCAAATAGCATTCTCCAGCCTATTCTGTCTAATAGCTGTTCATTCTTCTCATATCTGTCTCTATTCCTCGGCTTAATGTGTTCTTTAATCTTCCTTTTATCCTCTGGTCTTGAGGATTCCAAGTTAAGGCTTGTCATGTGACACAGTTGGGCGCTCTTCTTAATGTGTGTCCTGTCCAACTTCCAGCGCTTCTTCCTGATTTCTTCCTCCATTGGAATCTGGTTTATTCTCTCCAGTCATAAATAAATTAGTAATGTATTTGTTTTAATCAATTAAAGAATATTTGTTGATATCTTCGTTAAATATTCAATTTTTTAGGTAGGTGATACCGCTCTACATGTTGCAGCATTAGCTAATCTTTCAGATACAATTTATTTTTTATTTTCAAGAAATTTCGATTTATTCACTGTTAATGAAGTAAGTTATTTTTTTGTTCTTCAATTTGATATGTTATAAAAGTGACCAGTTAGATTCTTTTTATTGATATCAATGCGGAGTTTCTGTCATGATACAGTTTGTGCTTACATATCATGTCGTTTACAACATTTCGGTTGTATTAAGAGTAATATCAGTAGATAGATGAAAAGTTATGTAACATGGGAAGAATTGTTAGTTATTTCGATTGATCCTAACTGTTGACACAAATTCATGTCCCCAGATGCTCCAATACGGTTGACAGAACGGAGAGTTCTCTTCTCCTTTTAAAATGACCTCATACACCTGGAAGCGTAAAGACACTACCAAGGAGGTGTTATTCACTTTCTTCCGAAATACTAAAGAACCCAAGCCTATCTTTTGAACTTTTTTCTGGATTCTTGGAAATTTTTAAAACTATTATTCGGTAGAGAAATTAAAACAGAAATAGATAGGTGAAATTTGATTGGACGTAAGCAATATTTTCCTCAGTCTTGTAAATAGATTTTCGGTATTTAGGATAGAACAGAATGACAGAATGACTTGAACTCTCTTACCAATCTCATTGAACAGTATGTACAAGCAGGAAGAACGTTTCACACAGACGAATGGAAAGTGAACTTAAATTCAACAATCAAGGAAAATCTAAGCGCAATTTATAAATTGTTAGATTATTTTACAACCAATTATTCTAAAAAAGGCCAGATTTATTCTCATTCGCTAAAGCATTATCAAGGTCAACTAACACTTGCTGAAGGCCATCAGTATATTATAACCTTTACTCAGATCTAAATAAGATACTATAAACTCTAAGTACTTCCGTTCTGAATGATGTACGTAATTGTATGAGATTTAAAAGGAACCGCCTCCATCTTTGATAGAATGAAATGACAGAAACAATAAATCAGCTTCTTTCCTGTAGCTTACTTCAATTATCGATAAGTTCAAATCAAAAATCAATTAAAAAAAGGAATTATCTCAAGAATATAACTGTCGATTTGTCAGTTATAATCAACACAGAACATTGCATATATGTACAACAGTTTAATTTGTTGGTATCATTTAATTAGAATTATAGAATCGATCAATATTAGATCATTATTAGAAACCTGGAGGCACTGCACGGTCGTTTCGTCCCAAAGCAGGACTCACTAGTAGTGCTCATCGACGAACATGGACTGACCGAAGTTAGACATTAATACCCTCAGATGTCGGCTCTGTGGTCTGTCTATAGGCAAAGTGTTCGCGTACGAGACTGAAGGCTTTGGGTCGGATCCCCGCAAGCAGGGGTTATGGATGCGCACTGCTGAGGAAGAGTTCTTTTTTAAGTAGCACAGCTCAACATAGTTATCAACTAGTTTTGAGATATTTTCCTTGAATATCATTCAACGTAATATTGTGTATTCTTTGACCTTCATTATCTTTCTTTTTGTTCACTTCTATAGGATAAACAAACTCCATTACATCTCGCAGTATCACAAAATAGACTTGAAGCAGTTGAAGCTTTATTATTTTGTGGTGCTCCATTAGATCAGAAAGATAAAGTAAGCAATAAAAAATAGTTTTGTTTTCTGATTTGTATTATGGTTCTATTATGCAAACATTTAGTCTTATTCAGGACTCGTCTTACTTACTTACTTACTTCCTAACTAACTAACTGACTAACTTACTTACTTACTTATGCCTGTTACTCCTAATGAAGCATGGCACGCCAACCGGCATTCTACAACCTACTCTGTCCTAGACCTTCCTTCCTAGTCTTATATAATTTCTGTTCATCTGTTTCATGTCTGTTGGCGATTCTCGGTGCAGCGTGTTCTTTGGTCCCCCTCTTTCCCTTTGGAATTCTGCTGCTTACCACTCACTGTTCATCTTTTCAATAAAAATGTTTCAAAGATAATTATACATACAGCATACATATATGCCAACCAAAATCGATCAGAATTCAGTCAAGATTATTGACAAACTCCTCCTAATAATGATATTTATATTGTAGTTTGTTTTCAATAAACTAATCCGAATTTAGGAAATTTAATTTGAATAAAAACATCCTCATAACTGTAAACATTACAGCTTAACTTATCGATGAATCTACAGTGTTCATTAATATGTAGAGCCCATAAGGTTTGTCCCAGCCTTTGGAAAAATTAATTAATTCCTTCTTCGCTAATTATTCACACTTCTTTCGATCTTGTCAATCATTAGCTCATATCTCGGTTGTTTTTGCTTGATTGTGTGTGCGCTGCTTACTTCGCTTAGCCATGCTTCATAGCATTGAGTTGGCTCGTTCGCCTTCTCCACTTCGTTTCGCTTTGTTTGTATGCATTTTATTCTCATGACTGTCTGCGTGAACAATTGCATGCAATAAATTCGGCTGCAAAACTGTATTTGGCTTCTTATTACTGCTATCGCACAAACGGCGTTCGCCTCAGTATGATTATACGGAAGCTAAAGGGAAGATTTATTTCATAGTATATTCAGTCGTTCGTCCGAAATGAAGTCAGATATTTTATGTTCGTCACTAGGTACGCTTGAAGTTGCTACGAGTTCACCTTAGTCGATAAACGCGAATGAGACAATTACCAGCGTCCAGGTAGGCTACCTTGAATCCCAAACTGTAAAACAGAAGTCTTGCTTATACATCATAGAAACGTCTTTGGAACAGTTACGAAAACAGCACACTAAAATACACAGCAGCCAATCACAGCCATGGATTTTCCTGGTTGGAAATGAAATCTCAATGTCAACTGATCAGCCCATGCTCGCAAACGTGAAATCCGAAATAAGGCATTTATCAAGCGAGTCCCCGGGATCTAACATCCCCAACAAGATACCAGACCATTAAAAAGTTGAATCTTCGTGTTATGCTCGTCACTTGACATGCTTGAAACTATTACGAGTTCGCCTTAGTCGATAAACGAAAACAAGACAATGAACCTGTGACACAGTAGGCTATGTTGATCTGTTGCCCCAATGAACTGACAGAAAAGTCTTGATATAGCGTAAAAAGTGTATTCTACAAACACCCAGCAAAAACACAATCAATCAAGCATACAAATCGAGTTCATTTACACATCATAGAAATGTCATTGGGACAGTCACAAAAATAGCACACTAAAATAACACAGCAACCAATCACAGCCAAGGATTTTCCTTGTAGGAAATGTAATCTCAGGGTCAAATGAATAAAATCCAAAATTAATACCTTTATCAAGTGAGTTCTGGGGATCTAACTTCCCCAACACTTCGTTAAACAATATCATCAATCGTTACTGAACCTTCGTCGTCAAGTCTCCAGTATATATATATGCATGAGTTTAATGTAACACAGGGAAATAAGTTGAAAATATCACAATAAATGATAAAGTGATGAGAATTTTTGTTGATTCTAAGTTAACGGTGTGTAAATTCCTTAATTACAGTTAGGCGTCGTCGTAACTCGAACCAACAGTGCGTATGGTAAGACTGAATGCATATACATCTGAATTTTTCCGCTTTTAGTGCTCGAATTTCTCAATTAACCCATAGTTTTTTATTACCTAATAATAGATATATTGCATTTATGTTTTATTGTTCTCTTTTCTGAATTGAAACCGAAAAAAAACACATCTAGGATGATCAAACCGCTTTGATGATTGCTGCTAAAGCCAATTACACTGCATTAGTTGATATGATTATACGTGCCGATCGATGGAATAAAACTTATCCGGTAAGAGAAAAAGAGAGAAACGGGTATTAGAAAGTTTTCTCAGTTAAATAATTCTATTTCTATTCCAGTGGGATATTTGATTAAAATCATGAACCGTTGAATTTCAGATCACCTGGAACCAGTGGACAGCTGTTTCGTTGTAGTATGGGACTCATCAGTAGTGCACATCCAATACCGCAGGGAATAGAATCAGGATTATGGATGTTCACTGTTGAGGAGTCTTGTACTAGCATGAAACGACCGTCCAAACCTTCCAGGTATTCAATAGTGGTCTAACACTGATCGATTCATGACTTAAACGAAATTCAACAATTCGCACAACTCTAATCGAATATCTATTATGGTGTTACTTCATTTTTAATCAATAATGTACTTAACTGAGCTTTTGTGAAAATGTTTTCTGTAAAATTTAAACCATCACGCAGAACCATTTGATATTTTTTATTGTTTATTCAAGTTCTTTCATCCAATGGGATCCCATTAAACTGGAATGCATGTATGTGTGAAGAGTAGTTTGTACATTTTCACGATAACAGCATCAAAATTGATGACGGCTCAATTTTAAGTGCATATATCAACTAATAAATCCGTTAAATAAAATGAATTTTCGGCAACGAAGGTGCTTGGGGTATGTTATATGTAAACAAGATCACTATTTTCCTCCAGACTCGTTGTTTGTTCATGTAGGAACTGTCTGGATGAAAGATATGTGCTTAAATACTAGAAAATGGCATCAGTCTAGGAAATACTGGTTTGTTAGTCTATGTTCTATGGGGAGATGCAGGTTATTTGGTTGGAGTCAGTAAGATTATCGCAACTTTTCATTGAAGATGTTAGGTGATATTTCTGAAGGTCGGTCCTAATAGCCAATCACTTTACCAAAAAAACCATATCTTTTCATTACTAAGTAAGCGTTTTGAAGTTATCTAAGAATCACAACTTAATTCACGACTAGACTCAGCTGAAAACCAAGGAGCACAGGATATTTTTTTGTTGACACTAGTATAAGATCATCAAGTGAAATTCCTATCACGAGATCCAAATGTACCAGAATGGTTTCTCATGAAGTAACTGAATCTGCACTTTAGAATCCTATACTATGACAAAACATTTGTTCGATCCTTTCAAGCTTTCACTAGTTGTCTAACTAAAATCAAATCGTCAGTTAGGCTATACAATTCACTAAGTCCTACAAACATAACGCATCTTTCTTATGTGGGGATGAATTTCTGGTAAATTGGAAAACAATCTTTGAATGTACATCAACACTCTAAGATTCTGATACAACCAGTTGATGATTCCCGAATCGGATGAGAAGCTCAAACCCGATTCCACAACTAACCATACTCTACTAATAAAAACCAGTTCAAAATGCAAATACTTATCGATCGAACTAATGAGTTGGTTTTTTGATTTTTATTTTGCCTAATTCTTATTATTCCTCATTGTGACTTTTTCTACTGTCTTCAATTCCTATCCACGCATCATTAACTAACATAGATTTATGCTCAGAAATTAATTGATGAAATTCTACAAACTCAACAGGAGAAATCCAGTATAACAAGAATATTAGACAAAAAACAAAATAATTCATCCAGTCATCATAAAAGACACGAAGTAAGTGAGATTCTATGTCATAACATTATAAATAATTAATTATCACTGTTTAAGAAATATTTTTCTATTCATCTTCAAATAAATAAATATATCAGTGGTCTTTGGCTCCTTAGTCTAGAGGTTAAGCGTTCGTACGTGCGTCGGAAGCTTCTGGGCTCGACTCCCGCGAATGAGGATAGTCGGTGTGCACAGCTGATCAGAAGAGGTCTTTGTTCAACAACAAATCAATGTGAAATCATTGTGTTGTGTGTCAATAATACCAAGAAAAACTAGCCCCAGCATTGTAAAATAATTTCATTCGTTAAAAATGAAGAACGTTTGCAAATCATATTATCGACAAAGATGTCAAATTGAAATTTCAGAAAAATTAATACTATCATAAACAAAAATATAACTTTTTGAGATGGTGGAGAAAATTTGTAGCTCAGGTGGATGATTTTGCAGAGTGTGTCGTTCTCTCAGCTGAATGGTTTGGTTATGAAGCTTTCATTATTCTTTCTGAACAAAATCATCAGCACAAACTTCAGAGAAAAGTGAAATGAAATACAAACAAAATAAATTGTCAGATAATGCCAAATTGAAGGCCAGTGCCAATCAGCTACGAGGAATTCAATTACTTCCCTTCTAATTGAAGTTTGTGCCGATCATGTTGTCCAGTAGAACTAAACCATCTTGCTCACTCAACGAAACTCAGTCATAAAAATATGACTCAACCTAAAAATTTTTGTGGTAAACTGAACTGGTATGATGATAAGTTTATTGGAATCCATTATTGAACAAATTCTAGAAATAATTTGATATTTATGAAACTACTAACTAATATAAAGTAGTGCAATTCAAAATATTGAAAAATGCAAACAGAAAAAAGTTTAATTGTAGCTAGCAGTGGAATCTAGGATACATATTTCATCCCGTTTAGGATTTATCAACTAAATGTGGTCATTTTCATGTAAAAATCTCACTAATCAATTCCAGTACTTAACGTCAACAATGGAGTAATGATTAAACACTGGTACTTTTGATCATTAATAATTATTTAATGGGAAAAAAAGGATATAAATTAAAATGTTGCACTCAGTTTCCGAGAAATGATACTAATACACAACTTCCTATATAGAAGCCTGACCATTAGAAAGAAAGGATGAGAAACGAGGAAGGAAATCCACTTGAGTTAAACTGATGAAGCAACAATTCTTTACTCGTTTATTATAAATGATATTTCCGAGCAGAGTTTTGAAGGTTTGTGTTTTTACACATTTAAAATCATCAATTAATCATTGTTAGACCACCATTAGAAACCTGGAAGCACTGGACAGCCGTTTCGTCCTGGTACGGTGGTCCGATGGTTAGGCGTATATATATATACATTGGAGCTATTCTGTGGGTTTCCTAATTTTCACTATATTTCTAATCAACGTCAGTCTTTGCGATCCAACAAGTTTTCCTCACCATTATGATCTAGTTCTTACTCATACACTTTTTCCTATATATTTCACAGACATTATCAAATAATCGAAGACAGTCAATAAACAATAATGCTGATCGTCGAAATAACAATCAAACTGACGATATTACTGAAGATTCCGAAAGTAGTCATACATATGTTGGACAACAATATACTACTACTAATAATAATAATAGTAATGAAAACAGATTATACGATGCTTATCCAAGCAATCCGCATTCGTATCAATTGAATTCATCACCGAATAATTCAATCATTCCAAATGATCCTGATCCGGAAGATGGGATCATCACTGAGTTTATTGATCCATTCAAACAATTAGCATTAGAAGAGAATTGTTATCGACAAGGTAATGAAAGCGCCATATTCATTGAAGATCATCGTTCAAGAACTACAGCTAGTTCTGAGTCCGGTAGTGAATTATCATTAGGTTATGAAGCAAGTAGTGCATGGCATAGACAAGAACAAAGACGTCGACGCCATGAACAACACGAACAACAACAACAACAACTGAATGATTCATCACGGGATTCCATGAATTTATCACAAATTAGTTTAAGACGTGATCTATCCGAACCAAATTTCACTAGAAAACATTACAATGTATCAAATAATCATGATAATGATTATAATTATGATCATACAAAATCTAATGATGATAATCTTAGTCATTTATCATATCATCATCATGTACAAGGTGAAGAGATTTATTTACCAAATGGTGAAATTATATTTCGTATAACAGATACATTATTAGGTCAATCAAGTCGTAATATGCGTTTATTCAATGGTTACGGTGTGAATCAAACAAATCCATTTACATTTAGAGCACCATGTCAAGTGAGCATAGCACATTAATAAATAATGTGATTATTTTTTTTTCTGATAAAAAAACACGTCTACTTGATATACTTGAACCATTACGAGTTTACCTAGTCGGAAAACGAGAGCGAGGATCGAGCATCAGGCGACATGACATGCTGCTCAGATCCGATTAACCCAACCCCCATATTGACTAAAAATAAGAAGACTTAGTATGAAGTAGAACTTGTATTCTACAAGCATCCAGAAAGTACGAGGTCCGAATCCGGATGAGAATCAGGATCCCGGACTAGGGATCCGGGACCGACCCCTGGTCCTGGTCGTGGTCGTGGTCATAAATGTTACAGATAATGCGTATTTATACATTTTGGTCGAATAGGAAACAGCATCGAATTTTGTGGCATTGACAGTTAAGACGACCAATAGGAAGTAACATTTGAAATGATATTGATAGTCCGGATGACCAATAAGAGACAACATTGAAGTATTTGACTTTGACAGTTAAAACGACCATAATTTTGACCAATAAAAATCGACCAATAGGGTTTGACCAATAATTCTATTAGGCTGTTGGATGAATATCCTAACTCATGGCAGTATTATGGAGATCATGGTGTTTTTACTGTTGGGGACGTTAGATCCCCATAACTTGCTTGATAAATGGCTTATTTCGGATTTCACGTTTGCTAGCATGGGCTGATCAGTTGACCTTGAGATTTCATTTCCCACCAGGAAAATACATGGTTGTGATTGGCTGCTGTGTATTTTAGTGTGCTATTTTTGTGACTGTCCCAAGGACGTTTCTATGGTGCATAAATAGATGATATTTATGTGCTTGACTGCATTGTGCTTGCTGGGTGTTTTTGGAATAAATTTTCTACGCTAGATCACGACTTTTCATTAGTCAGGGTAGCCTTACCTGGACGCTGGTTCATTGTCTCCTTCACGTTTATCGACTAAGGTGAACCCGTAATAGTTTCAAGCATACCTAGTGACGAACCTAACATTTACACATTTAAATCATGAAAGAATCATTGTTAGATCACCGTAAGAAACCTGGACGCACTGGAAGATGGTCGCTTTATCTTGGTATGGGACTCATCAGTGGCAGTGCACATCCACGATTCTTGCTAAAATGATTCATTCATAATTTCACTGTGTAAAATCAACGATCTTCTTAATACTATAATGTTAGTTCAAAAATGTGCTCATTAGTGACCAGTGTCGTGAGGAAATTCCAGGAGTTCTAGTGAGGAAACTTGACCATTGGAGTTCAGCCCTGTCGGATGTAGGCAGTAACAACCGAAGACAGTGGGTGATGTTACGCAAAATCCTTAGATTGACCAGATTTAGACATCAGCACTGTTGGAAGCCAACTCAGTGGAATTAAAATTTCAGCATTCTCACGCAAGACTAAAGGTCCTGGATTTGGATACTGAGAGTAGCGGGAGTCATGAATACGCACTGCCACTTATAAGTTTCATAGCAGTACAAAACGGCCGTCTTCTAATGCTTCCAGGTTTCTAATGTTGGTTTAACAATAATTCATTCATGATTTCAATCTGAAGATTTATTGGTGTAATGTTGATTTTGATGCTGAAGTTTTTTCATCTCAAATGATTAATCTGAATGTTACACTTATAGTGAAGTTGAAAATATTGATCGTAAACATACAGTGTAAATGCATATCACTCAAGAAAAAAACTCAGCTTTCATTAGACGTAAATAATGATATACATATATTGTCTAATGTCTTACTATTGTTCAAAGCCTTCAACAATGCCATAGAAAGGTGTTCGGTAGTTGGAAAGAGACAAAAAAGGATACTTTGTCTAATCACAAATCAAAAGAAAGTTTCTCACTGCATATATCTATACCATAGCCTGACTTGATAATTATCCATTTTGTTATAAATTTCCACATCTACTCTATCATAATCATCATAGACAAGTTAATCTTGAAAATTCTCTCCATACATTTCGTCTTTTGTCTTTCATTCAAAGTTCAATTGTAAAGGAGATTTCTGTAAAGGGTGAGGTACAACAAAAAAGTTAAAATCAGTATCAAACATACATGTATAACAAATATCAGCAGTTATTCGAAATAAAAATTATCAGTATCTATTTAAATTGTGCCCTTAAATCCCGTGGTGTGATCGAGACAAGTATGAATCCACTTTGTCTGTTGAAATGCTCACGTATAGTCATGCGTCGTATGTAGGTACTACCAGGGAACTCTTACCTGTAGGTTTTGTTCATGGAATTGTGAGGATGGAAGGCGAATGTCTAGTCCTTTAACCAGACTGGTTAGTATGGAGGATACACCAATGAGAGTTAGTTTTAAATCACTAGTGAACAATGGCTTCTATATCCTGAGGGGACAAACGGCTTATGAACATATTGTTGGCCATCGATAACCAAAAGGCTATATCTCTCAACATTACTACAGTCATTTGCGTATTAAACCTTTGTATAAAAAGTTCAGAAGGTAGTCTCACAAAGCCATTTTTAGGCACCTGGAAGTATCCCAGCCTACACGCACATTCAATAATTTGCGTTGCGTATAAATATTTCGATGCCCTGAGGTTTATATGTTTATATACTTCTACTACTACTAATAATAATAGTAATGTACTGTAGAAGCTAAATGTTTTTTTTTTAAAAAAAAACATATTCTTTTAACTTTTCTAAATTAGAATTATGCTGATGATATGAATATATTATTTTATGATTATTCACATCGTTATGCTAAACCAGTAGATTGGAAAAATTTAGCAAAATTTTGGGGATTCACATTAGATGATATTAAAGCGATTGAATATCAAGATATTGGTAAGTTGAAAAATTTTTTTTAAAATAATATCAGTTGAATTAAACTAGTGGTAATGTCAGTGATTTATTGAATTTTTTTTTGTAATGGAAACACTATAATTATCACTTGAAATACTACTGAATTTTACATTTGACTACTGAATTCATTCATCGGTTAAGGCCGTGTCTTGGACCTCAAATCAGATAGTCTGTAATCTACCAACACAACGTAGTTTAAGAGCAAATAAATCCATGAACTGATGTCATAAGATAGTTTGACCACCTCTAGATTTCTCCTGCACTACTCCTACATCTGTAAACACAGCTAATCGACGTAGGCAATGGCTTGGTAAGCATAAGTCATATCCTAGCTATCACAGTTGATTAGGTGGATGTAGCTGAATTATTTCAGATGCTAAGAATGAAATCTTGAATGTATTCTATTATTAAACGATTAACCAATCAATGAACGAAGAATTTCCTGAAAATATTCAATACCGCACATTTACTGTATACTGATTTCATTACTGGAGATAACTCTAATTAAACAGACTTGTAGAATTTCAACGGAAATTCACGAAACAATTTCACTTGATTGGAAGTAGTATATTTTGGCAACTTCTAAAACACTGAAAAAAAGTTTTTTTGTATAGCTTTGTGCAGGTTATTGAGTTCCATTGAAAATCATGGATAGAACAATGTTCGATCACCATTAAGGATCTGGACGAACTTGACGGCCATTTCATCCTTGTACGAGACTCGTCAGCAGTGCGCATTCATGACATTCGCTCGTAGGAGTCGAGCCTAGAACCTTCAGTCATGACCAGTGCAGTTCAATCGTGTCAAGTGTGAGGCAGTTACTTATGGAGCACAATGGACTCCTGAACAGTGGTCTAGAGGTTTAATGTTCACACATGAGAGGTCGAACATCCCAGATTTGACTCTTGCGTACGTGAATCGCGGACACGTGCTGCCACTAATGAGTCCAATACTAGAACCAACCAACCATCAAGTACTTTTAGGTTTCTAATGCTAGTCTAACATTGATCATTGGCTGATTTCAATGAATTTTCTATTTTCTTTTACAATTTTAATTCTCATTACGGGGTTGTGAAGATTGTTAAGTTACACATTTTTGAAACCATGAATCGATCAATGTTAGACCACCATTAGAAACCTGGAAGCACTGGACGGCCGTCAATTCCTGGTACGGGACTCCTCTTCCCCGAGTTTTAGTGGGAAGACGTGACCAGTGAAGTTCAACCTGTTCGGGTGTAGACAGTAATTACCGAAGACTGTGTATGAGGTTGCGCAACTCCGTGAATCGATCATGTTAGACATTAACACCGTTGGATACCGGCTCAGTGGTCCAATGGTTAGGCGTTCGTGACCAATTTTAATTCTGTCCAATGTTTTTTTTGTTTTTCATTTAGGTAAGAATTCTTATAAACAGCATACATATCGTTTGTTAAATATTTGGTTACATGGAATCAATGATAATCAATCACCATTGAATGAATTCTATTTAGCATTGACTACAATTGGACGTAAACATACAGTGGATCAATTGCGTCATCGGATTAAAACTTTGAGCAGAATGAATCATAAGCATAAATGCAAAATTTAATTTACAATTCAATTTACGCTGTGTGTCCTCACTCTTACTACATTTTCTTTTTAAATCCTCATCAATGCTTTTGTTGTTATCATCATGATCATCATCATCATCATCATCGTCATCATGTGTAAAATTTCATATGTTCACTGTTTATGTCAAATAAAACAGGTATTTGTAATTTTCCATTGTCCATTGGATTGCTTTGTTGTTGTTGCGTCATCAAATTCTTTGCACATAAACACACATAAATACACATAGACATATACACACACACACACACAGAGAAAGTACAAACATTTGCATTCATTTCAAGGACATATATTGCAATGAATGTCCTTGACAATTTTTATGTTTTTCATTATTGAACTTTGATGTTTCTAGAATATGATTCTTTAAATTCAATTCTGTTGTTTTGTGATAAGTAAAAATGTTTTCAGTCAGTACACAGCACAGTTTAGTTGGAGAGTGATTTGAATTCAATGTAAGACGAGATTATCAACACTTTTTTTTAAGGAATGAAGTAATCAGATTCACAGTGGAATTGAAGAGAAAATGCCATTTGGTTTGTTTTGCCTTGGTTTTCATTTTGTTCATGTTGATTTTTGGCCGAATGGACTTTGCTATTTCACTGATATTTGCATTGGCTAAAGATGCGACAAAAAGGGAGCGTCCGTATGACATGAAAATATATCATTGAAGGAATTTTTTAAGGCAGATCATTGTTAATTTCTACACAATTTTGACCGAAATAACCTGGAACACATACACAGTTTTGTTCAATGCTCAAGTTTCTTCATGTCTCTTGGTTAATTTATTCTTCATCATTGAGCATTTTCGTTACTTTCTGGTTTAATATGTACGTATTTACTTACTTACTTACTAATCTGCTTTCAAATATTCTGATTGTCATTTCTCCCCCATTCAATCATTCATTTGTTTGTTTGTTCTTATGTACAAAAAAATTGGAATGAAAATCGTTTTTTATGTATACAATAACTGTAATAAGAGGAAAAAATATTTTCTAGACAAAAAATTGTACTTGAATTATTCGATTTTTTTTGTACATATTGTCATATGTTGGTTTTAATATGCGAGTATAATTGATGAGACATAGAGATAAGTGTCACTAACTAACTAACTAACTTACTTACTTACTTAATTAGCCACTTAGCTACCTGCTTACGTACTTACTTACACGTGTTATACCGAATGGAGCACAGGCCACCAACCAGCATTCTGCAACCAACTCTGTCCTGGACCTTCCTTTCTAGTTCTGTCCTATTGCTGTTCATTCTTTTCCCATCTGCCTATGATTCTCGGTGCAGTGTGTTCTCCGGTCTGATATTTTGCATTTGTTCCTCACGATTCCGAATAAGGGCTTGTCTTGTGAAGTAGTTAGGTGCTTTTCGCAGTGTGTGTCCTATCCACCTCCACCGCGTCTTCCTGATTTCTTCCTCCGCTGGAATCTGGTTTGTTCTCTCCCACAGTAGGTTGTTGTTGATAATGTTTGGCCAACGAATCCGAAGTATTTTGCGAAGAGAACTGTTCATAAATACTTGTATCTTCTGGATGATGGCTTTCGTATGTATGTAAAGAGTCACTGCTACAGAGGCTAATGCTACGCTGGCTTACTTCATTTGCATTTGTTGCTGTGTGTGAGATAGAAGAACTAGATTATCTCCGAAGTCTAAATCATTCGGCTGCATCCGAGCTGTTCAATGTCACTTGTGCTCCCACCGAGATGTTGACTTCTTCATAATTCATTCAGCTATCAGGAGAAAGAGATAGGGTGAGAGTAAGCAACCGTGAATGACATGGGTCTTCACTTGGAACGAGTCTGTGAACTGTCCTCCATGCATGATCTTGCAATTTAATCCGTGATAAGAACTCCGTAGGATGCTGACTATCTTCTCAGTTGCACCGTAGTGTCGATCAGTAATCAGTGTAGAGTAAGATAACCAAAAATTATGGAGATAAACGAAAAACGAATGGATGACAATGCAGTTTAATCATAAATGAGGTCATCTTGAGTGTTGTTACACATATACAAGTGATTATCACTTGCCGATTGCTCAATTCATGATGGCTTACGAGTTTTGATAATATGAACTTGGACCTAAATGGATAACTGTCTGAGACTATTACCTATGATGCAGTATTATTTATATTTCTTAGGGCCAACATTTCAAATTCTGTCCTTCCTCTGTGAGAAGACTGTACCTTTCCAGATGTCTGAAGAAGAGACATTAATACCGTCAAACTTCTGTACAGTATACAGAACGACTTCGCTTTCATACAATAAGTTCATGATTTCTAGTCTTACCGTTCTCCATTTGAACTTGTGGACATGATGAGACCTAAAAGAAAAACATTTTTTCAGTGACGTAACTTGACTGAATCCACCACTTAACAAAGAACACAATACCGACAATATGGAGTCACTCACTCTCCATTGTAATCATGATTATTTATATATGGGATTTAAATTGAATTCTCAATATATTTTAAAGTCAGTCAACTATCTGATATTAACCACAGGTTCTTTCTGATATTAACCTGTTGGAGTGTTACTAGAAAATCCTACTAATGAATGCTTTCAGCCCGATTAACCCATTATTGACGACTGAGACCAATAAAATATATCTATTTTATTAATGAATGCTACAAGGCATGCAAGATACTTTGCATTGATTTAAATATTTAACTTAAGCGGAAAGTTATATAATTGAGTTTTTGGTAAAGTTATACACGGTAAGTAACATGTTAGGATTTGAAGTAAGGAGTATTAGATTAAGTCTCACTGTGAACATCAACAATGGATGGTAGTAGAATGATCTGACTGACAATTCCCCGAGTTGGATAGGATAATAATCCTGGATTACAATAATTTGTCATAATAGCCACAGAGGACCAGGAAACATTATTATAATAGTCCTAGTCTTAAGTACCTCTGAAAGCTTCAGTGCACTTTCTGGTAGCCACCTCTACAAATATTATATATATATATATATATATATATATATATATATATATATATATATATATATATATATATATATATATAAACCTAAATGCGTCGACAGATAGAGCTACAATCACTTGTTCAGTTAACAAGTTCCGTTCGCTGACAATTTGATGAGAGAGTCGATAGTCAGCTGACCAGTAGTTTGCTCTGGGTTTGTGGAGAGAGCGTTCTTATCAGTCCGTTGTTCTTGAAAGACAAGAAAAATGAGGGCCGGTTGGATAGACACTTATCCTAAATTAATTAAAAAACTCTGATCAAGTCACCTCTGCATCTTCTAGATTATCGGGGAAATAGGTTGAATTTAACTAGTCTCTCTTCATATGGCAGTTTCGTGATTGCGGAAATCAGCTTACTTGCAGTTCTTTAATCCTTTACCGTCTTTCTTAGTCTCTTTTCAATCAGAGGCTAGCTGTTTGTTTGCAATACTGAAGTTTAAGACGAACAAATATTGCAGTCATAGTGAAAAATGTCCTAGAATCCATATGGAAAAAGGTACTAAGTATTGACCTTTTGCAGCTAATACACGTCATTGTGCAGCAGCTTTCAAGTCTTAACTAATGATGACTCTTCACAGGTAGGTCAATGCTATTTAGCGCGTATTTTTCTGTACCATGTTGAGTAATATGCGTCATAATGTATGATTCATATATACTTAATCTTGACCTTTGACTGTATGGATTTTCACCTTTATTCATGGTTTGTTTTTCTCTATTTGCCTATAATACTTCTTATCGAATTCGATCTATTTTATGGAAACAGCATGAAATAAATCGATAAGCTTTTACTGTTCGTTCTAACCCCATGCCTGTTATCATTTGCATGGTCAAAATAGACTCTTTTTTTATCACTTCTGGCTTTTATTAACAGTCGTTACACAATAGAATTAGCCTAAGTGTAATATATGAAATGAACTGTAGAATTATATTTCATTATTCTCCGTCGAGTCTGTTGGCGTCAAAAACGGGGTTAATGTACTAACATTGAGTCAGTATATTAGTTCTTAAGAGTGAAGAATATTTGTATCTATAAATGAGATTTTAAAGATATTTTATTATTAGAACTGGTCGGTTTAGTTGGAAGTTTTGGCTATCTCACTCGTCAAAATAATCGGCACACACTTCAGTAAGAAGTGAGTTTAACAGAAATTTCCTGTAATTGACTAGCTGCTTGTTTTGTACACCTAGAATTTGGTTGTTTGCTGTCGATTGGTGTACAGCCGTTATTTGTACTTTTGATCTGATCTCTGACTTACGAGTTGATGGCCCTTTTTCTGATTGATTGATAGACTGAGTCAATTACAATGTGTCTATTAAGAATACGCCTGAACTTAACGGAAGAAAACTTATTCTAAGATTTGTACAAAAGAACGAGAATAGCTTAAGAAACAGGAACCAAAGAAGTTCGTAGTTCAGTGGCATATGACAGTAGTCGTGGATAAAGAAAACTACGTTCAGAATGTTGATGAACTACTTCGAGATTACAGTGTACATCAACCACTGGGAACTTATCTCATTCGAAAGCCAGATAGACAGAATATTACATTAATTCATCAAACCTATATACTTAAAAAAGCAGGGACAATGACAAATATCACTTTAAAACCAATCATCGTAATTCCAGTGACCCCTTAACACATCTTGGAAGAAATCGAAAGACTGGACAGATGAAACATCAAGAAGGAGAATTCTTAGAAGTATAGCACACTGTTAACACTCAGAAGCCCTTAATATAGCTACCTAAACTATTAAATCCTCGTAAATTATATTTCTCAGATGTTGTAATCAAACGAGCGTCAGATAGAAAATTACAAGGAAATATCTATCGTGAAAATACATAAAGTGGAGTTTAATTAAACAACGTCAGCTTCTGTTCAATCAATCAACCAATCAATCAAAGGGATTGTATGAACTCTTTCTGACCGCTTTCGTAAACTCTTCTTAAAAAAAACATCTGAAAAATTAACTTGCCCTACTTTCGCAAAACTGTCCAGGTGAATATACATACTCATTGAAATTTGTCGAAAACAATGTGAAAACCAAGCAACATTTTGCATACGACACAATGTAAAGGCAAACTCTCTTCTTCTGTCTTCTTGTCAAAGGAGATAGGAGAATAGCTGGAATAACTAACCACAAGATAAATGTCG